TAAAATGTAAATACAACTTGATGTGGAGCAGAGTGATGAAGAAAGTTATTTGAGTTTCCCTCATGTTGTTGTACCCACTTAATCATGCGGTAATGTTCCCTTTCTTATTGGCGTTATCGAGGTTCGTTCATAGTGCTTGTATGATTAGCGTCGATACTCGTGACATTATGTTTGTGATTTCAAGACAGGATAGGTTCAACTTTTCACATGTTCAATTGTTTGAGAGTTTTATTGTCGTGGTAAACGATCCAATTCCTTGATTGTGTGGAAGTGCAAAATTGATTGATTCTTTCCACTCTCATTAATTCGAAATAATTTGCCAAATTGATGACGATCAAATTCAAATTCAACTCGGAACAAAGTTGAAGGTAAAAATGTGTTTCGACTTCATTTCGAGAGGATTATTATACAACTACATTTGAAAGACAATTAATTTTGGAATTGAACAGACTTTTTTTGAGGAAACTCGAGAATAATATGACGGTGCTAATTGCCACAAAGTGAAGAAGTGTTTTGGTAAAAGCAAGATGCATTTTTATTAGTCATAAAATAGCAGGTTAGAGTTTTATCGGGGGTGAATACATGAGAGATGATGTTTTCATCTATTAATATACGCCTATTCTGAGGAACCATGAGATTTCTCCTATTTCCTAGAACAGACGACACACCATCTAGCAATGGGCGTGTACACCTCAGTAGAAATTCCAACTCAAACCATGTTTATAATGATCCTTTTATACCTAAATAATGATTGACGACATAATTCGATCGAAAAATCTACTGGAATGTTTTATTTTTGAACATAAATAATAGGGCCTTCTGAAAACGGACCCTCTTATGACGTAGAAACCTCATCTCGCCTTGAACCAATGAGCGTGACTAGCGTGACCCATGTGTGACACTCATCACTGTTGCCATATCATCTAAACAAAATATCCGAGAGATCGAAATCGATATTGAAATATCTTTTGATATCCACTACCACTACTGCAGAAGAATATATTAAAGTCGTCGACTGTAGGTTGAATCATTGGAATATAAACAATCTCTTGACAACGTAATGTCTCCATCTCAAACCATTTGCACCATTACAATTTCACAATAATCCAATACATTTAATAAACGCAGCAACATTGCTTTGTTGACTCGTTTTACACGGAGCTGCATTTGCATCGGGTCTCGAATTCCGATTCCGAAGTTATTTATTTCGTTTAAAATGAGAAGAGAAGACACGAAATGAAATTAACCTCCAAATAATGCTTTATATTATATTGATATATTGAATATAAACATAAACGTTGATTCAAGATCAGATAGTCTCCCAAAAATTGATTTGGAAATGGTTAATGATTTTTATGTCCCTAACATACAGTTTCTCAGTGCTGAAGTGAGGAATAAAAAATCTGAAAGGTTTGTTACACAATATTCATTCAATTTTCATTGCTTGTACCTATAGTTGTAATGGAAAATTGTTCACCTGGAAGGATATTTAACATCAGAATACCCATCATATGGAGAATCCTCATTAAATCAGTCACTGAATGATATGTTTACCTATGCAACAATATGATCAATTGGCATGAAACAATGTATGGTTATTCCCTACACTAGATACTACTTGCATCTCCCTTTGAATATTCTTCTAAGAGATGGATCATTCATTTTTCAAGCAATTTTCCAATGAATTTCTGCGAAGCAAAAGAACTACAATATTGTGTTTACCCAGTGAGGGGGCCAGATTTGTTCCCAAAATTCCCAGCTGAATGATGTTTTTATAATTGCAATTAGGCACAAAACATTTCTTAATTAAACTTTTGTAGAAATATTTCAATTTAATATTCGAAAGTTTCCCGTATTTGCAATAAGTTAATATAGGTTAGAATTGATCTTTTTCTTGTTCTTATTATCTTTGTCCCAAAAAATCAACTTGCAGATTCACCAATCTTGGTGCTTTGTCAGAAATCATGTATCATTCATCTCTGTCTGGAATAGTCTTGTTTCAGTATTAGGGTTTTGACGTCACATCATCGCCTCGTTTTCGGAGGTCCGAAAAATCGGGGATTTCAATAATTTTTTATAAAACGTAGGGAGCTCACAGCAAGAAACGGTTTGCGGTGGTGAGCTAGTTTGGGTGAGTTCTATCGAATTATGAAATAAAAATTTTTTGTGATATAAGCCCATTGTAGTGATAAAAATCTACCTAGCTTCTTGAATGATCGATGAAAATGCACCTTATTGCTTTCAATCAATATATTTCTATACTTTGACAACAACTATACAGTCACCGTCCACTACCGTCCGATAATTTTCGAGTTTTCTCGATTTTTTTTCTAACCAAATTGTTCTTATACTGTAGTTGTATATTCATCTTCCTGGATTACATTCAAGGAATGTTTTGATTGATGAAAACATTTAATTCATACTCGAATGTTATCACCATTTTCAGCAAAAAAAATTGAATCGATTGTTTGCCATTGCTATCGAACTTTCATGCAATCAAACAATTATACATCCATCAATAAGATCATTGTATCTCTTTTGTACTTTTGTATCGCTTCGTGCGCACGAAAGAAAATTCCTATAATGTTCGAAGAACATCGTGCGTATCTAGAGAGGATAGGAAGAGGAGGTAGGTGTTGGGATTTTTATGAACTTTCGTGCCGATAAAGTAACGTGATTTGATGAACTGCTGTTCGACATAGTTCGAGGATGACGACAAAAGAATGTGCTGACTGTGCCTGTCGAGTTCGTCTGACTGATATTGCTAGTCGTGGAATGGTAGTAGAGACGTCTGAAGAACCTCCCAAGTGGAAATATTCATAAAGAAGTCGAAGGTCGCTGACCTTCCTACGCCGGTGCCCAAGTGATCTCGAAATGTTAGGTGTGGCATCACTAGCAAGGCAAATAGCTTTCTTCTGGGTGGAATCTGATACCTTCAGAGTTACAGGTAGCTCAGAATATTCTATGGATATTCTGACAATTTCAGAATATACTATGTTAGAATATCCTTATAGAATATTCTATGAACATTCAATGCGAGATTTTCTTTTCAAATATTCTGAGAATATTCAGAATCGTATTGAGAATGATATAATTGTTCCTTTTCTTGTATCAATATTTAATTCAGTGTGGTCATCTTTATATATCCATCTCATTTATCGATAGGGTTTGTAACAAAGTGGTAAGGTTTCAGCTTCGTGTAAGGACGTTTTTGTTTTCTCAATCCCAATTTCCCTCCATCACCAAGAAAAACCAACTCACCACTGATAGCGATTGATCAGCTCTCCCACCCCCCTGGGTTTCCACAGTGAGACTACCTATGTATGAAGGGCTAAGCCGTAGGAGATAGGCCTCTGTGACTAACACCTCGCATATACACCCACATTCCTTGACGAACACAAGCCACCTCTACACCACGTGGAGGACAATCTATGTACAAAAGAACGTCTGTATTCAGTTACTATTTACATAAATGTGTTCAAACTATGCGATGTATGAAATTTGAAGAGGAATGAACGATTTGAAACAAAATAAAACAGCTTCGTGAAAATTCATTCACAAAATAGTAGGCTCGCATCTCCACCGGAGCAAGCTTTTTTAATTTCCTTTTTCCTCCTTCAATATTCTAGGAATATACTCAGGATTTTCGAAACAGTCCATTGCGAATGTTCAAAGAACGTCTTTAGAATATTTGTATCATATTGTAAGAATATTCTAAGAATAATGGAATATTCTTGAAGAATATCCTATGATCGTTCTATGAATTACATTGTGCTATCTGGGGTATGTTTGGATGATGAACATTGTATGTGGAAACAGTATTCTTGAATAAGCCGTGTCTTCGCACAAAGCAATGATGGAATAGTCAATAAGAAATGCCTCTGATAAATTGGTCACGAAATTGTTGTAGATCAACTGGCATTCCAAATTTTCGTAGGGAAAACAACTTATTTCGAACAGTGTATAGTTGTCTATTATTCAAAAATGAAAGAATATGATCAGATAGGATAACTTCGTTTTTTCATTTTATGTAGATATAAAAGCATATTTTCCTGAGAACATATACCTGTATCCATAATGAGTGAGCTTTTATTCTGGAAAACTGTATTTTATCGTATTAAAGTTTCATCATGTCATTATTACTCACTTATTCAGATGTATCTCTGAATAGAGGGTATGTGAGTTTGATGTTCACAAAGTTTTGAGTGATATTGCAATAAGTGGAACTCACTGTCGGAAATATCCAGGAAGTGTTCCTAGGAATTCAAATTTCTTTAAAGTTTCTGAGAGATGGGAAAATCGATCTCGACTCACAACAGCTATCATGAAGTAGTAACAATAGAGACAAAGTGCTCGTACGTCTAACGAACTCGTATTCGAAATGAACTTTTCATTATACATAACCTGATTGTCAGTTCGAACGGTATTCTGACTGTATGAATTTTCATATCTGAATGTTCTGAATTGAACTGATGATTTTGTAGCAATATAAGCTGAATAGCTGAAAAACTCGATGTAGGTACTGTGCAAGCGATAACAAAAAAGAAAATACAACTATATTCGTTGAAAAAACACAATTTTTCATCCAGATATGCCAAATATTTATCGGTTCATCTCTTGAAGGTCGAGGAAATATTTATCTCTGAAAAGACATGGATGATGGCATGAGACGATGTTCTGAATCATGATTGTTCCAATAATGACAAATCATACCGACAGAAAAAGCTGCTGATACTTTTTGGAACATCATTCATGACGGTGGGGATGAAATTCATCCATTTCGTGACATTTGCAGTGATGCGAATTTCGAAGATGATTTTCAGATATGCGAGCAGCACTGAAAACTTCATCGAATTCCAGATTCGTAGTGGCAGAAGCTGTTGTGAGGTCAAAATTTGCTTGACACAAAAATATCCAATTTCTGACATTCAGCTGAATCTGAATGATATTAAATATCATTGTTCCTTCTAGACAAACTTTGTGATACTTGCCCAACTCACCAATAGGAGTATCTATCACATGTTTGTTCTTCCTGCTATCAGTTATGATTACACATTCTAATTTCATGAATTCAAGCAATTTCGAGACGTTAAGGATAATTTAGCGTGATAAATAATAGGAAAAATAAACAAGTAAATCCATGATTGTTCTCTTCATAAAACTTGCCTATTTCGATACCTATCTGCTCATTCAATATGGAAACGTCATGTCCTTCGTTCAATCTCCATTGGCACAATAAAGAGCACCTTCCGGAAGACTAAGCGTAAGAATAACAAAATGGTCGAGACGGCAGTCAGGTTGAGGAGTTCAATTAACATTATGTTTGATATATGTCTAGAGGTTATCAACATTTCTCTTTCCTGAAACTTTCGTTCAGCATAACAATGTATAAGTTTCCTTGAAAGCTATGATAATAAGGATGGGAATGATAATATCAATCATAATAATTGAAAAACTAATAATAATGATAAACATATTGATAAAAATTGATAATAATGATATTCAATGACGAAATTCCGACATAAATATCGTGCAATCGTTAAAACAATCAAACACTAATGAACCAGCAATTGCACATGTCTGTGATAGACAGCATGTGTTGTATGCACATTCCACTGACCAGTCGCGTATCTACTCGCTAGACGCCAACATGTACGAGAACTCAACACTCTGATTTCAGGGCATTGATATCAAAATCTAGAAAAACGTTCGAACCCGTCGATTCCTGATTCGAGCGGCTATGGCTTGTCTGCTTTCTTCATCCTCGTAACTTAAACCCGCTACCAGAAAAACTCACAATGTCGGTTTGTTCATTATACAAAGATAAACAACAGTAACTATCCCACGCTTGACTTCTTTACGCCCTGTCGTCAAAATCTCCTTTTTGAAAAAAGTAACAAGAGTTTTTGTAGAATATGGAGTTTTTAAATTTGCACAACGAATAAATTAATTCATCGATTTACAACCCGGAGAAACATCTGAGAATTGATATCACTCATTTTTACTCCGTTTTTTTCAGCAGTTCATTCGTGAAGAAAAACCTTGATGACAATTAACAGAATGAAGCAGACTTCCTAGATGTAATCAATAACGGGTATATGCCCTCCTCGAACTTGAATTACAGTTTTCGGGTTGATCAAATTTCTCAAGCAGTGTTGAAGAATTGCCTCAAGATTCTCCTGAAAGATGAATCTTGGCTGTCGAAGAATTTTTGACAAGGTCAGATGAAGGCTAATGAACCTTTGGAATTTATCTCAAAGATGATCAATCCGTTTGAAATTACCTATTGGTGATCAAAATTTGACAGTTTAATGCCTCCTCAGAAGATTTGTACTTTATTTCGAGAGCAGAAGATTTGGACATGAACCAAGGAACATTGTGTTGAGACGGTGCAAAAACGGATTATACTTCCATCCAATCCTGTAGAAACAGATGGTTGGAGAATGTTTCTGAATTATCGTTAATAAAGATTCAAAAATTCTATATTTCCTCGAAAGACTTGTTTGTATCTTCTCCAATAGCAAAGGGTTTGACGTGAATCGAGAACCACTGTGTTGAAAAGTGCTCACACTGTGATCCAAAACATGATAAAGGTACGCCACACAGCGTCAAGAAGTTGAGGGCGAAGAGTAACTCTTGATTCACAATAGATCTTCTAGGTCGCAGTGATCGAGAGGTCTCTCAGCCTATACGACCCATCTACAATCTACAACTCTAGATTCTCACTGAATAATGATCAAGCTATCAGCTTTTTGTTGAAGGATCAAAGTTCAGATTCAGTCTCCGAAACATCAATCTACGATTTGATCCTAATATCACCAGAATCGGACAAGAATTGAAGAAGTAACAAGGCGATCGATTTTTTTGTCGGTGAGTGTATTTTTTTGCATTCTTCTGTTGAATCGGAGAGACGCCAATTGAAAGGAATAACAAATTATTCATGGGTACGAGGAATTATCCAAGGATTATCTGAGTAAATTCGAGCAGGTGATATAATTTTGATAATTTTTTCCGAACATAGGTATATTGTTCAAATATTGATTCGTATTTGATACAGCGTTTCTGTTTGATTCTTTTTTTGAATCAGAATGGACTTGAAATCTGAAACTGATACTGTTTGAATGCATCAATGATTCAAAGCATGACATTAATACATTTCTTTACTTATTTTACTCATTTTGCAGTATTCCATCTACCCAACCAAGTAGATATTTTCGTTACGAAACACCCTGTATATGTCCTAGATAGTGTTCAGGTGGGTATACTCAGTAATCATGATTCCAGACTCGTACAATCTTGTGTGAAAGTTTATACATATCTTCGAGTGGGGTGTGATGATGATAAAATCAGGAAACACAACTTTATGACTTTATGACTTCGTGTTTTCTGATCCCATCAGATAATTTCTATGTGACATATGGATTCTAGACTACAAGCTCCTATAGAGCAGTGAATCGTTATGTCGAAATAATAAAGTGTTCATCATATTTCCCGGATTTATATAGTTTCTGTTGAAGCAGATTAATGTCTCTCTGTGATAACGAAGTTCTGTATGGAGAGCCCTCATTTTGAGTCGGAGTGAGTTATTTTGCCAGTTTTCATTTTACAGAGCATTTCCTAGGAATTTGTTCGTTATTCATGCAGTTGAATTTCCATTTAAATAATGCCATGTTACTAAGTATGATAAGAATGGAAAATCGGGTTTTCATTCAGATTGATCTGGTACGCCTAGTATTTATTCGATATAGTGAAACCTATTAGGTGATAACCCAAATATTGATATCCTTCTCAAATGAGGATGTATCAACGTGTCAATATTCATCATCATCCCAATGCACGGAGGAAAATAATCACTAACCCTAATTGAATATTGAATAGTAGCAAGTGAAAACTTGTATACCATTTGGGACAAGGAATCAAGTTGATACCCACAAAAATATTTGTGTTCTTGAAAATTTACACCTATCACTAATAACCTGTTTCAATTAATTTCAGAATGATAACCGTTAGTAAACACAACTCTCATCATAAGTGACTCATTCACTTGTCATTGGTGACTAATTCACTTGTCGTTAGTGACTTATTCACTTGTCATAAGTGACTTATCTATTTGCGATCAGTGATTCATTCACTTGTCATCAGCGACTTGTTTACTTGTCATTATTGACTCAATCGTTCTTCATTAGTGATTCATTTACTCGTCATCAGTGACTCATTCAGTTGTTATCTACCTGTCATTAGCTACCCAATCAGCACCAGACATCTTAAAGACGTACATTTTACGACTTACTTACGTCTTTACGTCCAGGGACGTATAAAGTACGTCTTTAAGATGTAAATCCATGTACATCTTAAAGACGTACACGAATTTACGTCTTTAAGACGTACATTTTGAGTCGTATCCACGTCGTTCCTCCCATGTCGTATAAAAGACGTCTTAAAGACGTAAAGTTATTTTCTGAAGAAAAACAAAATGTCATCTCTTCACGTTTTTTAATTTCAATTGTTCAGTTTTTTCTTATTTTCAACAAAAGTGATGTGTTTGAATTTTTTCGTCCGACATTTTGGAGCCTTCGTGTTAGATTCTCGAATTTTTACGGAAAAATCATATTTTCCGACCCCAAAAGTCCCATAGTAATCAATTTTGAAAAAAATCGGACTATAATCACAAAACTCGTCCGTCATTTTGAAGCCGACATCTTGGATTTTTCATTTTCGACAAAAGAAATTATAATCTCTGATCCCGAAATCCTTCAGATGCCAATTTTGAATCAGATCAGACCATAATCAGAAAACCATATGCCACATCGCTCGCCATATTGGATCCGCCATTCTGTTTTTCTCATTCAATAATAATATCACAACGAATTGTCACCGGAATAATATTTACTTGCCAAATTTCAAATCAATCGGACGATTTAAAGTGAGTCAAATTTAACTTACACGTTTTGATTACAAACAGACACAAGGACATGTTACATGTAAACTAAGTGAAAGCTTGTTATGTGATATATAGAACAAACAGAGTGACAGAAGAAGTGAATATGGTATAATCATCGAAGTCAAGCAACAAAGAGCGCGGTTAGTACTTGAATGGGTGACCGCTTGTGTCTACCGTTTGATGAAGTCGTTTATTTCCGTTTTTTTGCTTGTCTGCACTTGTTGCAAACTTCAGTGCACAGGTGAAAATCAACTGAAACTATGTGATTTTTCCGTAATTTGAAAGATCAATTTGAGGTCATGGACCAAAAACACCTAAAAAAGACGTCTTCAAGACGTACATATTAGTGGAAAATGTACGTTTTGAAGACGTCTTAAAGACGTCTCTTGGGCGTAATATGTACGTCTTAAAGACGTACTTATGTCCCGACATGTACGTCTTAAAGACGCCTTTAAGACGTACTATGGCTGATTGGGTAGGTACTATGAAAAATTACACATATATTGTTTTCTGAAAGATAATTATCTTGCAAAAAACAGAAAACTCATGCATTTGAAATATTAATTGTATTGCAATAATCAATCCAGAAATCACAAATAGGTTAGGCTGACGACAAATATTGAGATAATGTTCTGGGAGAGTTATGTATTTCATCATCTTCTTCGAAAACATATCAGATCAAAAACTCAATACACAGACGAATAATCCTCACGAATATGGTAGCAGTTGTTCAAAAGGGCACTTGCACTACTTGGAATTTCAATCTCATTAGCGGGAACGCATGATGTATATTCACTAGAGTCTCGAGATCATACCCGTGTGTTCACCGAACACGCCCGATCGTTACCTATTGCCTAAGCGGTAAGGACTGGGGATACGTGAACAGGCAGCTAAGGCTTCTCTCGTTATGAATATTGGCGCGTGCCTGAATTATTTTGGAGTCAAATTTGTCAATCTAATGGAAACACTCCTGTATTTTACGTATTACACTACAAAAACAGAGACAGCATGAGAAAAGCTGCCTGTCCACTCAATGTATCATGACTGCCTGCTTGCTTACGTCTAGGTCTCCCCACCGCTTAGGTAACGAT